ATGTCTCAGAGCTTTGCAAGCACACTTTTCAGGAAAGGCTCCATCACACAAAGAGCAGTTACCCACTGTCCCATCTGCTTGCCTGTTCTGCACTGAGAACTTAATGTAGATAGTGACACACTTGAAAACAGAGAATTATGGATTTCTAGTCCAGTCTCTGGTGATTTGGATTTGGGGGCATTCCACCTCTCCTATTTTGTCAGTTGTAACTCAGAATCGCAGGAATACAAACTTATAGATGAGTCTACCCTTGAGGCAGGAAGAGCTTGAAGAAAAAAAAGTCTTTTGACGACATCATCCCCCAAAGCCTGCAGTCCAGCAGGCTTTCCATTTGTGGCTGTGTAGTTCTCTGACACTTCTCTTCCCATTGTGACCATTTGTGTTAACCCAACTCTTTAAAGACTACCTAACTTTGAAATGGTTGATATTCACCTCAGTGTCTCTCAGTATGTCCCTATGAGCACCATGTCCTACTTACCCTAAAGTCTCCGGGGTGGGTGTCCAGGGTTAGTTCATCGTGTTCAGAGCTGGACACATTGGTCTTCCCTATGCACGCATCAGTGTGGGGCGCCTCAAGACCTATTCAAGGCTTAGCTGGACCTAGAGTGTTTCTCTGTGTGATAGTAACTGCTCTGAAGCAGTAGGAAATTAGTTGTATTAGCAAACGATGTGGATTTAATTAATCTAAGAAACAAAACACAAAATCCCTTACTGTGCTGTGATTGGCAAGCAGAGAGGCCTAGTTGTTCTCCCTGCATTCTGTGTGAAGAAATGAAGCATTTAGGACTTTACATGAGCACTGTTCATCCATGCCCTGATGTGTTCCTTGTTCAGAACTATGTCAGGTCAGCCAGGTGTTAGGAAACCCACTGGGACTTCTGTATTCAAAAGAAAAAGGTGTTTCTGCATGCTCAGTTTTGTTTTATTTGATTTTCATATACGATGAGTACTTATTACATTATTTCTACCCTCCCTCTCCTTCAACTCCTCCCATGCCCCCCACTCACTCTCAAATTCAAGACCCTTTTTTCTGTCATTACATTGACACACATTGTTATATTGTGTATTTATTACATTGACATGCATATATGCATATATCCTACCAATTTATTTGGTGTTTCTCCTATGTATGTGGGTACTTTAGTTAGGGTTTCTACTGCTGTAATGAAACACCACGACCAAAAACAACTTGGAGAGGAAAGGATTTATTTCACCTTACAACTCTCAAGTCACACTTCATCACTGACAAAAGTCAGGGCAATAATTGAAGGCAGGAATCTGAGGCCGGAACTGGTGCAGAGGCCATGGAAGAGCATGGCTTTCTGGCCTGCTCCACAGGGCTTGTTCAGCTTGCCTAGTGTCATCAGGGAGGAAGGAGCTTCAGTTGAGGAAATGCTGACATGAGACCCAACTGCAAGGAATTTCTCAATTAGTAATCAATGAGGGAGGAGCCAGCCCACAGTGGATGGTGCCATGCCTGGGATGGTGGTCCTTGGTTCTGGTTTTGTTTTTTTTTTTTAGAAACAAGCTTCTTTTACATGTCAATCCCAGTTCTCTTTCCCTCCTCTCCTCCTCTGTCCCCCTCCTCCATTCCTGGGTTCTATAAGAAAGCAGGCTGAGCAAGCCAGGGAAAGCAAGCTAGAAAACAGCTCCTGCTTCCGGGATCCTGCCCTGTTTGAGTTCCTGTCCTGACTTTCTTCAGTGATGAACAGCAAATCTGAAGTGTAAGATGAATAAATTTTTTCCTCCCCAACTTGCTTTTTGGTCACATTGTTTTGTTGCAGCAATAGAAACTCTAAGACACCTTCTTACACCCTCCAGGACCACTTGCCCAAAGGTGACACAGTCCCCAGCAAACTGGGCCCACATCAAGAAAATGCACCGCAGATTGCCCGCCGGCCAATCTGATAGAGCAATTTTCCCAATTGAGGTTCCCTCTTCTGAAATGACTCTTGCTTGTGTCCATGGCTGTAAAACTAGCCAGCACAACTGGTATTGTCATTGTGCACCTCTTGTTTAGGCAACTTCATCGTTGAGATTTCATGGCTGCAACTTCCCTGTCACATCTAGAAGACATTGTCTCACAGAAATCCTGGTCTTCTGGCTCATAATCGTTCTGCCCCCTCTTCCACGATGTTCCCTAAGCCATAGGGGTAGGGGCTGTGTTGTAGATGTACTAACTGGGTCTTAACAGTAACACAGTAACTTAATCCCTCCATTTTGGATTTTCTTCCAGTCGTGGATCTCTGTAGTTGTCTCTATCTGCTGCACAAAGAAGATTCTTTGGTGAAAAGTAAGAGTTGCACTTATCTATGGGAACAAGTATAAACATTCAGAATATAGTCATAAATTATATTGCTTTTGGAAAATAGCACTAATATCGTGTCCTCTCGAGTATATGACCTCTCCAGACACCTGCATTTGGCTAGGTTTACAGTACCAGGCACAAATCCACTCTCATGGAGCTGGCCTTCAGTCCAATTAGATAGCTATTTGTTGCCTCCAAGATAAAAGTGCCACTATTGACCCATTGGAGATATCCCAGCAGGTTGGTTGTTGTGGTGATGCACAGACTTTACAGTTCTGTAGGACTATTGGTTGTTTTCCTTCCTCAACAGCTTGCATAGCATCATCTGATTCTATGAGTTAGTCCTCAAGGTCAGTTCCAGCTCAACTAGTCCTAATCCTGTATTCTGGGTATGTGGTGTCTTCAGCAGGAGGATCTTATCTTCAAGTTCTTGGAGACAATTGAGGCAATGGCAATAGCCTATATTTTGCTTGGAGTTTCTCAAATCCCTGTGACCAAGAAGTTTCTCATGCCTGGCACTAGGATTTTTGTTAAATAATTTATGGCTATTCCAGAGAGAGTATTACCATTCTGTGTGGTACAATTCCATTTAAACTCTGTGTATGCGTATGTGTGTGTTTATGTATGTATACATATACACACATGTATACTATTGGTATATTTTAAGTAAGCTTATAAAAAAATGTTTCCCTATGGCTTTGTCAAACATCCTTATTTTTATTTATCTGTGTTTCTCTCCTCTCCCTCTGTTAAGGTTCCCCTGCCCTGTTTTCCCCCTTCACAGAACCTGTGTCCTACTATCTCCAGCTGTGGAGTTTTTGCACACACACCCATGCACACATGCTTGCATGCTCGCGTGCACACACACACACTTGCACATATATACACATACATGCACATGTCCACAAACACGAAAGACACACACATACACACTCAAATAAGACACCATAAAGCATTTGTCATGGAAACTCCATTTTTTGTTAGATCAAGGATAATTTGCACCAGATAATGCTGTAAGTAATACTGTATACAAAATGCTGAAAGCCAAGATGTGAAAACATTTTCAATTCACCAATTCACTGTATTCAAATTTGCCCCAAGTACTTGTAATTTGTTGTATAGTCATAACAAAATTGGCTCTGAATACCACCTAATTTGAATCTCTCTTTAACTAGATTTGTGCCATTGACTCATGGTGCTGGTATTAACTGCCACTACCTCCATTTTAGAGTTTAGGGCCCAGATATTATAATCCATGATTTATTATCCATTTCCCCATTCCCATGTATTTTAGTGCCTATCTTGTTCAAGACATTGTTTTACATTCTTTGACTATCACAAATGACCAAAGTTTCTTTTCTCAGTTTAGACTTTTGTTTGAGACAATATTTGTAAGTAAATAACCTTAACAAAACACAGAAAGAACAAAGGCTTTAAGCTAAATATAAACAACAGCTATGATGGCTCATAGAAGAACAATGTTCTAAGTGAAAAAAAGAATTTGAAACCAGGTATGGGTCTGTAATTACAGCACTCCACAGCCTGGGGAGGTAGGATCATGAGTCAAAGCCAGCCTGTTCTACATAGCCAGACTGTCTCAAGAAGAAAGAAATGAGAGAGAGAGAGAGAGAGAGAGAGAGAGAGAGAGAGAGAGGAGAGGGGGTGGGGAGGAGGGGGAGGGATGGCGAGGGGCGGGGGCAGAAAGAAAGGAAGGAAGGAAGGAAGGAAGGAAGGAAGGAAGGAAGGAAGGAAGGAAGGAAGGAAGGAAAAAAGTCATGGGGATATAATGAGTCAGTCAGAAAAGTCTCTGATACACAAGCATGAAGACCTGAGGCTGGATCAGTGGGGATGTAATGTACGAGAGAAGAACAAATTTAAAAAATAAAAATAAATAAATAAAAAGTAAAAGTAGATAGCAACTGAGTAAAGACATGACATCGACCTCTGGCCTGCATACTCGTGAGCACACACACTTACACTCTCACACACACTCTGAAAGTAAGAGACAGAATCTCCAGGGAAGAGCACAGCAATTGGTTTTATCTGATACCAAATGGTCAGCCCTGAAATCATCTGTGTGGTGTGTGTGTGTGTGTGTGTGTGTGTGTGTGTGTGTGTGTGTGTGTGTGTGTGTGTGTATGTGTATTTCAAAAACTAAACAGAATGGAGACTAGAATAGAAAGTATCAATGGGTACTACACATGGTAAGAATTTCAAGAAATGTCTGGACACTGAAGGTGGGGATCACAATGTTATTTTTCCCAGAGACTCAAAGTCAATAAACACTCTGGTATTTTCCATGTTATCCTAATCCCTTATCTGGCTGCTGTCACTGCTCTTCAAAGTCTGCATTGAATTGTCAGCTGCAGTTTGATGATTCCTTCTGGGCTATTTGCAATGGAAGCCTTCCTGCAAACATGCACAAAAATTCAATTTCTTAATATTTTCTCAGAGCTAAATTGACTTTAACTTATCTCAGAATGCATGGGCTCACTCTACAGTGCAGGCCCTGAGGTTCTCTGCTGCAGAGCTGAGGGCCTGCTCTTCTATTAAGCAGCAGGGATGGGTAGGAAACAGTACTGAGACTTGCTACTCTCAAAATCAATAATTGGAAATGTTTTACAAACAATAGAAATGCTTTTTCTAAGCAAAATGCTTAATTTCTTTCTCCTTTTGTCTTTCTCTTTCTAAGCTGCCTGCCTTGTGCTTGGCTGTATGATTTTCCCTGATGGCTGGGATTCAGATGAAGTAAAACGGATGTGTGGAGAAAAGACAGACAAGTACACTCTTGGGGCCTGCTCTGTCCGCTGGGCGTACATCCTGGCTATCATTGGAATACTGGATGCCCTGATCCTTTCTTTTCTTGCATTTGTGCTTGGGAACCGACAAGACAGCTTGATGGCAGAGGAACTGAAGGCAGAAAACAAAGGTAAGATTATTTAAGGGTCTCATAGTGGATGTCCCAAGCACAAAAAATAATCCCGAACAGAAGCCCTCTCCCTTTTGGTCCATCAAGTCCTCTTTCCCCTGCAGCTCTTGTTTGCTTCATGTTAATGCTCTTGACTCTAAGACTTCTCCAAAGACTCAAGATGTTTGCAAGACTGAAGTACAGCATTGCATTTTCTTATCCTTCTGAAGCACTCTCTAAGTCCATTGTGACTGTTTCAGTATTTGTCCAGTGTCTTCTTCCTTCTTTCTCTAAAGCCTGAGCTGTCAGGAGTTAATGACTAAGAGGCAACATGGAGGGGGGGTCTATATGATTGAATGGAACATGCTTGTTTGTGGATACGGCTATTTTCCCAGAGTGAAATTAATACCTGAGAAATCTTTCACAACTATTAGGACCACTGGATTTGAATTCAAACTCATCCTGTCAGAAAGAGAGTGATTCCCACTCCTAAGTGTTTACAGAGATTACAATAGCACCCCAATTGGCTATACTTCTCAATGTGTTATCTGGTTAACCAACTGCTCAGATTTCTTTCCAAAATGAAATTGTCTACTGAAATACAAGGAAATTGGGAGAAAGAACAGGACATTGACTGGTGTCTTAATACACTGAAGTATATCAGAGTAGGTGACTAAGATTTAGTATATCATTATTCAAGGTGAATCTTGTCATTTTTTTCTTCCACACTTCTAAGCCTATTCTTTGTGGTGAAACTTTAATGTCAAGAGTTTGTTCCGGCCTTAGATTTGTTTGATGTATTCAATCTCTGTGAGGTTGGGGATTCCTTTTGTTGGTGGTTGGTTGATTTTTTGAGATATGGCATGCATTATATATATACTTAATCCGATCAAGAATGTTCTAACCACAAAAGTAACTCCCACAGGGAATGCAGCTAAATCTTCCTAAAAACAAAGCTACCAGGGATGGAGAGATGGCTTAGAGGCTAAGAGCACTGGCTGCTCTTCCAGAGGACAGAGAACCTGGGTTCAATTCCCAGTACCACTCTCTGTAACTTCAGTCCTGGGGTATCTGACACCCTCACATGGAGGCAAAACACTGGTGCACATTAAATAAAGAAATCTTTCCTGCAATTACCCCTTTTAGATTTAAACACTCAACATAAAGAAAACAGTTGTAGTTTTGTTCATGTTACAGATTTAGTACTTTCTATGCATTCATTAGTCATTTTTATAAACTTAATTATTTAAAAAACTTGCAAATAACTAAAAACATCACACACCAAAATTAATTAGACCCAAAGTCTATACAACTTAATGAACTCATATACATTTAGAATTAGCACTCTAGAAGTTGTGACGCTTCACATTAGATTTTACACATTCGGCATTGAATATATTTTATGTATTTATCTACCACCAAAAACAAAAAGAAAATCCATGATAAAATTAGAACTGGGCCGGGCATTGGTGGCCCACACCTTTAATCCCAGCACTCGGGAGGCAGAGGCAGGTGATCTCTGTGAGTTCGAGGCCAGCCTGGTCTCCAGAGCAAGTGCCAGGATAGGCTCCAAAGCTAAACAGAGAAACCCTGTCTCGAAAAACAAAATTAGAACTGGAAAAAATAGCTTTCTATTCTCTTTCATAACTTGCGTCTGTTACCTGCATTCAGTTCTTTCTTGTATTTAATCATGTCTTGTTCTCTTTTCTTCGTATTATACTGTACCCACACATACGTTTGTCTGAACATGTGCATATGTATGAGTCATGCATTCATCATGTGGAGTTCTTGTCTGTCTCTTTAATCTGTTGGAGATACTTGGTTTTCTGTCTTCTTCACTTCACATTTAATGGTAAGGATAGCTCTAATTTGCCAAATTACCTTTCTGGAAGGTATGAGTTATGGCTACTTTGTTCAGCAAATATTTGAATTCCTCCAGTCTCCAGTAATGGGTCAGAATGCTATTTGTTCCTTTAATATTCAAAGTCACACTGAAAACTTTTGACTTATCAGATCTTCTGTGACCACAATACAAAAGAATTCAGAAAAAAAAATACAGCTAAAGTCAGCAGCAGTTCATCTGCCACAGATCAGAGAGATCCAAGGAAGTACAGAAAGCATCAAACTGTACAATTTAACATTTCTACTTCTGAGTCCAAAGTCCTTAATGTGGGACTCTGGGATGATGACAAAAGCTATGCTATACAGACTTGTCGGGCCCTTACACACTGGATTCTCAATAAATCTGGTCAGGACTTCAAAGCTTTGTGTAAAATTAACCAAACCTACATGCTTCTGAGAAATGATACAAGATTTGCTGTTGCAAGTAACCTTTGTTGTTTGGAACTATTTAATAATTTATTCAAGGTTGAAACTTCTCAACTCAGACTATCTAAGACCAATCAATGATTCTGTGTGTGATATGGGCATCCTTACAACTTCATGGATATATGAATATCACTGTTGACTAATTAAACCATTTTCCAGTATTAGTTGTTACGGATAAGAATACCAAAATGTCTATTGCGGGGACAAATCTTTGTTTTGGTTCCATGGTAGTATGTGGAAATGGTGACAAACATAATGCTGCTCAAATTTTTAGAAGACTGTATATACCCCAGGGTTATTTCTGTTTCTAAGGAGCCAGGCAGTGCTATATATGAAGCCATAGCTCAAAAGAGTAGAAAATGTATACACTTTTATATCAATATCACTACACATTGTAACATCTTCTATAGTGTTTCAGTGTTATAGCCCACCAACCATATCAACATGCATCTTATAGGTAGCAGATGCATAACAAGGAAGAAGATATGATCATGACATGAGATAGACCACTAAGGAGCATGTCTGCTTTGGGGGCTGCTATAATTAACTCTGCAACAAATCCCCTGCTGTATGTGCAAAAGCCATCATAGAGATCCAGGTTTTCTGTGTATCGTTATAGCAAGGATATTGCTTAGACCCGTGAATCCTTCTTGGCAGCCACCCTAATTTGATAAAGCAAAATCCCTGCTACATCAGTCTCAGAATCAATCAGGGAAAAGAACTTGGTTCTAATTGTTGACCAAACTCCACTCCTAGGACCCTAAGGTCAAAGGGAATATAAAATGCTACTGAATCGTAAGTCAATTATCACAAAGATGCTATTCCCTGAGAAAATAAGGAGGGGTAGGTAACTAAAAGTCCCACCTCAGCCACCTGCAACCATCCCCCAAGGTGCATCCCCAGTGCACTCATGCCCAGGTCCACTTCAGCATGTCCTCCAGTGTGTTTTGAGGCTCTCCTTCTCCAGGAGCACAAAGGTCACTTGAAAGACACCCCAACTGGAACAGATTGTAAATTATGGAATGGAAAAAAAAATAAAAGCAATGGCATTTTCCCACATCTTCAACCAAACTAAAGGAGCCACAATCCTGTGTGTCTGCCTTTAGGCTGAGATCTGTTGTACAGAAAAGTGACTGTTTGGAAGTGTTCTCACAGAGGATCAGCTTCAGAACTCAGTGGAAGTGACAGAGTAATTTTTAATGGAAAAAAAAAAGTTCCACTGAAAACAAAGAGAAATAAAAACCTGTATAAATCCAGTTAACCTTGTACCATATTCAGCCCATTGGGGGAAAAAAGCCCACCAGCCTCTCCTCCTGCTCTGACCAGAGGACACAGGACTGCAGACTGAGTGGTCCCCAGCAGAGGATGGCAGTGCTAGGCAAATGTTTCTTCTTGCTTAGGAGTGCAGCAGAATGATTTCTAAATGAGCCAACAGTGGTCGGCATTTAACCTTGATATGCTGTTTAATTGCATATTTTAACACACTGAACTGTGAAGTCAATTTAATTATGTAAAATTAAAGTTTCACCCAGATAAAAAGGATTTGAAATGAAAGCTTCAATTTCAATTTCTTTCATTAGCTGTGAAAGGATAAATAATTACATTTTCCAGAGCTCTTCCACCACAAATATCTCTCTTTCCTTGTCAGACATCATTTATGAAGATCTCTCTCTCTCTCTCTCTCTCTCTCTCTCTCTCTCTCTCTC